GGTATCAAAAAATAGCCCTGAATTTCAGCTATTTTTTGATACCAAAGACGCATTTTTTGAAAGTACGGGTGCTTTGAAAAAAAATAAAATACTAAAAAACTTTTGAGACTACGCGACTGTTCGAGGGCGTGGGGTACTATTACAGTATTTACGGTAGGGGTAATTGAGTATCAGGGAACACGGGGAACACGAATGGTTAGTTTTTTTTGAGTCGACAACATTTTTGAAGTTAAAAATACAATTTTGCTTAAATTGGGAAGCCGGTCGGTCTTTTGGGGGAAATCAGAGAGAAAAACATGATGCTAATTTAATGCTAGTTTGCTCTTTGAGGCGTTTTGAGAGGATAGCCGGTACAATTCATGAAGTGCATTTTGCCAGCTTTTTCAAAATACGAAACCTTTTTAGATATCAAATTGGGACTTTTCGAGATTTTCAAAGCAGCTACACGAATTTGCTTCGGGAAATTCGAAACACACAATTTCATGCTCATCCAAATGTAAAGTTAAATTCATCTCAAAAATTTGATCGTTAAAAAACAAAGAGAATCGTAGATTGTGACAATGATCAGCTGCTTTCATCAAAGTTTTATCGACAAAGAAAAGGAAATGGCTTTCGTTTATTTGGTGACTGAAAGAATGGATTGTAGCCTTGAGTACTATTTCAAGTTAGAAAGTTGAAATAAAAACCAAAAATAGCATCGTTTTCAGGATTTTGTTCAGAAAAAAAGAACCACGGGACCATCGACATTTGGCTTCTTTGTTGGTACAAGTATTCCGAGCATTGGATTATTTGAATCGACGAGGAATCATGCATCGAGTAGAGCTTTTAACAAAAAAACAAAACAAAACAGTAACTGCCTGAAATAAGCTTGTAGACCTATAGTTGAGGAACTACAGATCTGCAAGCTTACTCTAGCAATTGTGTATTGTTGCCGACCCTATCGGTCGGTCGGGCAAAAACTGGTACCGACAGGGGACAGATCTAGTAGTGTTTGGCTGAATATCTTGAAAGGTGATAGGACTTTTTAAGATATTCAAGGCCTTGCGTAATCTCTTTTCAAATACTTACGAGGAACACAATCAATTCAAAAAGTACTTAAATAACATTTAAATCAAGGTTGAGAAGGTTTAAAATTGATGATTTAGAAAAACAAAGATCAAATCTGCATAAGGGTTGACTTTTCCGTCTGGTAGACTGACAATCCAAAAGGGGTTTGGTCAGTTGGTTGGCTTGATCTACTCAGAAAAACCCAGATCAGGCCAAGCCAAGTCAATTGGGAACCATTGGCTTGGCTTGGCTGGCTTTTTTCCCAGCGTTAATCCTAGTTTATCTAACCATATTCTCTAGTCCTTTAACTAACCGCAATGATTTATCCTTTTTAGGATCTGGCGCCAAAAAACATAGGAATGAATCAACAATCTTTTGTGATAAAACTACTCGATTTTGGGACTTCCGGGTTTTCGTACATAAAGTCTTTTTATCTAAAGTTTTTAAGGCATGAAAAAGCGAATAGACGAGACGTCACTTTACTCTCGCAAACACCACCAAACTATCAACCACTTGAAGTGATCTTGGAAATCGGATACGATTGCAAGGGTGTTTACTCGAATTTTTCAACAATACCTCAACCGAATATACAAATTAGAGGGTTCGCCAAAAGTTCTGCAACCTTCTTGCCAAACGCAGCCCATCGCACGCAAAATCAAACTAAATTTACGTAAAAACAAACAAGACAAACAATTTAGGACATTTAACAACAACACAAGTCAAAAAAGAATTACATTAAATGCTCAAAATGTTCTCTGTTTGCTTTCATACATTTGCTCAGACACTTTCGAGCTATGGTCGCGCACTTGGTCACCAAAATTTTGCAAGTGTAAAATTTTTTTTAATTTGTTTTTTTTTAATTTGTTTTTTTTTTAATTTTTTTTTTTCTTTAATTTTTTAATTAAAAAAGCAAATAAAAACATTAAAAAAATTAAAAGACATTAATTAAAAGAAACACATAATCGTAGTTCAAAATATAAAACGGCTAAGATATGGGTGATGCAATAAAGGTAGCAGAAGGTAGACTTTTGGCGCACCCTGTAACAAATTAACTTAAGCAAAATGATCGATTAAATTAAAGTTCTAGGTAAAAACGATATCGTTTTTAATGTTCTTTGCTTTTAGTTGACGTGTGGGCAGCAGGTTTGGTGGCCGTCGAAATGTTGGGCAAAAAGTTGATGCTTCCAATTAACGAAAGCACAGTCACTTCATCGGAAGGAAACGAAAAAACCGACACATTGACCGCTAAGCAAAAGGCGGAGATGGTCAAGGAAAGAATCCTCAACGTGGTCGGTCTTCCCACGGATCGCTACGAATTCATGTAAGAAATGTTGCACGAAAAAGTTGTACTTTCCTTGTTGTACAAAGTTGAAATCAAAAACTTTAGGTACAATGGGAATAAACTAATAAATCCTCACGAAAATTAGCATTTAAACAATTAACACAAAGTTTTTAACGACTTTTGTGTGATCATTATCTATTAATTACTCTATAACTCCATCAAATTATTTTTTCTTTCTAACATCAAAAAATTGTGTGGTTTATTTCCATCGAGTTATAATTTGTCAAATGTAATTTTTAAATCCAAATTTTAGCGGTTTATTTCCATCGAAGTGCTTTAATCTTATAGTACTTTTACATTACCTTAAATTAATTTACGAACAAAATTTGAATAGGGATTTAGATTCAAAGGGGCACTCAAAAATGAAGCCATCCGTGAGCCGACTTTAGACAAGGAACTCGCCACGCTAACACAGCGTGCGCTTGACCAAGATCGGCAACCATCACTTAATAGTTCGGTTTTAAAAAAGCTTCACTTTGTATTAAATTTAGAACCAAGTCTAATTGATCTATTGAAAAAGATTTTCGTTGTAAACCCGCTGGAGAGACCGTCGCCGGAACAATGCTTGGAACATCCATATCTCAGTCTAATGAATGTATTTTTTTACTTTATTTAATTAAAAACTAAAGTAGATATTGTTAAATTTTGAAGTTTAAATGCTTTTCTTAAGAAACTCAGCTTAATTCCAGCAAAAACTCCCATTACAAGTTGTTCGTGAGAAAAACGATGAAGACAAAGAGGCGCTTGAAAAGTTTTTAGAGAAATTTTCGGATCATTACTTGATTGAACGATGAATATACGATATTTTGTTTGTTGGCTTTTCAATTATTCTTTTGCTTGAATATTTGAACTTTCGCTCTCTACGGGCCATAATTATGGTAACAAATTGTTTAGAATTTATCTCTTCGAAAAGTTAATCAATCTTGTCACAGCTTTTTAAAGGAATTTTGTTTAAGCCTTACTAGGGAATGTTGTCGAGTTAAGGCAGGCTTTTCGAACAAGACCAAGCCTATCTGATAAACACAGGAGACAACGTCTTCAATTTGGTCGAACATATTCACGTTGGACAGTCGATTATCGGACTCGAGTGATTTTCGTGGATGAAACAAAAGTTGATATTTTTCTGATCGAAATCGAAATCATCTGATCCGACGTCCAATTGGAAAGCGATATCAACTCAAGTACTTGCAATTCACGGTGAAAACAGGCGGAGGATCAATTATGTGTTTTGGTAAGAATGTTTCTTTTTATGCAACCCAACGTGATTTCTTTAGGTGCGATGTATAAAAGTTCAACGGGTCCGCTTGCTCTCGTAAAGTCAGCAATGGATTCCCGCCAGTATATTGAGATATTGGGCAGATTTTCAGGTTTTGACAATTATTTTTTTCTCGATGAATAAGTGTTGTGTAGCGATAGCGTTTGCGTAAATAAATTGTACATATGTTTGTGTAACGAAAACTATTAATACCTTAAATAACGCCATGAATTTTATCAACGAAAATCAATGAAAATTTTCAGAAAATTGAGTGTTAAAAGACTTTTGCACGTGACTGTAGAACTTGATCGTTATAGCCTCAAGCGGAACACAGAAACGGATCTTGGTTGTAAGCTGACATTGAAAAGAAATAGCAAGAAACTCTTGATAAGGAGGGCCCATTTTGTGAAGAATCATTCGACTAAACAACTTTCATTTATTTTTTATCTTTTTTTACGACAAAGATCGCCTTGAATCACGTCATTTTAAGCAAATTTGCCTTCCGTTTTCGTGATAAAGAATCAATTGATTCCGAAAGATAAAAGGAGGCAAAGGTTCTCAACAACGGAGTCATTTGAAAGAGCCTCTTCTCAAAAGTTTTATCATACCGTATTTTCTCTAATAGTAGTGCACCCTGAGCGTCGCCGAAATTGCTCGAAATCTCGAGAACCGCTTATCAGAACCTATCGATGTGGGGTCGGAAAATGTAGCTGACGATGAGATCTAGTGGGGGATTCGAGTGTTGAGCTTCTGCAAAAGCTTGGAAACCGTAAAATAGTCACCAACTCGGCTCGCTGGGGTGCACTACTATTAGAGAAAAGACGGTAATATTTAACTTATACCGTAAATACTGTAATTAAAGAGCATTTCCTTCTATTTTCTCTCTATCCTTTTTCGGACTCCCCGAAAAATCACATAAGGAAATAAGGAAAAAAGGACCATATAAATTTTTTTTAATCTTTTAAAATCACACTAGCTTGATTGTAAATGCTCTAAAACGAACAAAAAACATGTTTAAGACAAAAAAATTTTTAGCCATGACCCCTGGGGGGCGGACTCTCGAAAATGATAAGGGTCCCCCTTACAATTTTGTTTCGAAAAAGTATTTTTGGAAAATTTTTTTAGATCCTTTTAAATTTTACTGTCAACCCTTCTAGGTTATACATACTGCCCATTTACACCATTCTAAGCATTTTTCAGCCTAACTCTTTTTCAAAAGTAGTGGACTTTTTGGGCGACCAATTTTGTGTGGGGAGGGTGCCCTTCAATTACAGTATTTACGTTAATATTTATATAATATCATAATATTTAACTTTTCTTTTTAATTTGAAGTTTTAAATAATCTTTTTAGAGAAAATGGTATTCTGGAGATTCTTGGGACTACTTGGGCTTCTCGTTTTCGTAAAAGCTTTGCCTTCACCTGTGTTGCAACGAGGTACGATTTCTGATTTTAAAAATAGACCTTGTGATTTTTCGAAAAATTTTATTCTTGATCTTTTTTTGCGACAAAGATAGGCTTGAATCACGTCATTTTAAGCGAATTTCCCTTCCGTTTTTGTGACATGGTTGAATAATAATGAATTTGAATGACATGGTTGAATAATAATAATAATAAGAATGAATAAGATTCAATAATGAAAATTATTACATCCAAAAACTCTGAACTAGAAGCTGTTGGAAAATTCGTTCGTTGGAAATAACCCACTATTTTTTTTCATTTCTTCTACTTTTTAGGTCACCTCACCTCTGTTCAAGAATCAAATGAAGTCCATCCAGCCGTTCTATCGTCTACTCTCGGCAATAGTTTTCTTTTCTCCATTCCGAACATGCATTACGAGTGAGATTAAACAATATTAAGGGTGGAAATAAAGTTTAGTGACTCGGATCAAAGCTACACGGAAAGAATCTCATTGATTGTCACAAATTATGACACTAAGTGGGTTTATAAAATTTAGAGAATAAGGTAAAATGGTAAATAAAAAAAATAATAGGAAACAAAAAGTAGAGCTAAACCTCGTCAGCAACCTAGAGAAGGGGTCTTGAATAATTTCGTCTCACAATCAAGTTTTCAAAATGTGACTTTTTGCTCAAAGCATTCTAAAAAACCCGTCCACCAACGATGCTTGACTCTACTATGTATAAATATATAAGAAATTGCTCAGAAAACTTAAACTTTCAGCAAAACAGCCACGGTGACCGTCTCGACCCCATCAGCCATCTTTAACACCACCACTTTTACCATTCAACCCTTAAAGAATTATAAGGTATTCAGTAAAGTTTTCTATGCTTCTATTTTCTGTTTTAGGTTTCTTTGCCAGCCGAAATTCAAACAAACTATCGGAATCGCAAAGTGAATTATTTTTCAATCGAAACGAAGAGCATTTCCGTCACGGCCGACACCAAGGTAGATGTGGTTTACTCTTTTTTCTTGAGAGTTTGTTGATGTTTTCTTGAGAAAACATCGACAAACTTATTTAGATTTAGTTGATTCATTAGATTCATATTTTGTTGATTGGTTGTTTTACATATTCAGTTGATTGATTGTTGAAAACATCAACAATCAATCAACTAAATATGTACAAAAATCGAGCATTTAGAAATATGCGTTTTCTTCCCAAGATTACAATATGTTTTTTAGGTGACCGTTGTGGCACAAAACGAGGCCAGTAACGGCTATGGTGCTGGAATGTTCGTCGTCTTTCCGGTAAATCGTTTTTTTTTTATCATATTTATAATAAATACAGGACTTTTCTATTCTAATCTAAATTCTACGCAATTTTTGCATTTCCTGGAAAGATTCGTTCAATAAGGACTAATGTAAAGAAAGTGGATTACTCGCTTTCAGTTGTGCTCTCTCTCAACGACGTATCGAACTATGGCCGATGACATTGACAGTGGTCGAAAATGGAACAAAGTTGCCAACAGCATTTCAATCATTGCCACTCAGGACAATACTAGGGTAAGGATTAAAAAACGATATTTTCATTTGAGGTATCTAGGTGTCCATCAACCCAGTGATCACCAATCCGCCCACTATCACTTTGAACTCCGGTGAGGTGATGATCCTTGCCTCCGACAGCATTCCTTTGATTAACTATGAAATCACTTCCAACTATCCTGTTGGTAGGTTGATTACATATATACTGAAAATTAAGATTTCAGCCGTGGTGACAGGCACCGATTGTGGTTATGGCTACAGAAAGTTGGATAGCAACGGTTGTGACTACGAGGTGAGTCGGGCGCTGTACTAGTTTTTGCTAAATTTAACGGAAAACTAGGAAAGTGGTGATTGGCTTAAGCAATCACAAAGAAATTCTCGGTTTACTGGAATTTCGCCTTCGTTTTCTGAACATAACGAAGAGCCTAGATAATTTGTTAATAACTAAATATATCTGATCTGATATCTGATCCAAGATCTGAATTCTCATGGAAATTTAGGCCACGATGTCGTTCCCGGGACCTGGAACTGCCGGCACCGCTTTTGCATTCCAGAAATTTATGTACGAGGATCAAGGAGTGCTTGTGATTTTGGGAACGGTTGGTTGTTGAGCTTCTTGATTAATTTTGTTTAAATAATGACCAATAAACTAATTGATTAGATATAAATATTAAATCCAAAGCATGAGTGCAAATCTTTTTCCAGGAGAACAACACAATAATCACTGCTAATGGACGAGCTCTGGATATGATCGATGCATTCGGGTTGGTCGTGATTGAAAAAAAAATAAATAGCATTCGACTAATACGTCCTAAAGATTAATTTAATTTTGGTACTAATATTAATAATATTTTGTAATATATGGCTATAGACTATATGTCCCATGTCTCAAACATTTATCGAAGAAACCTTTAGATATTCGATCTATCTAGTCCAGAGCACCGTCTGCCTTACCACGAATAAACCCGTTTATGTGTATGCGGTGTGTTTTTGCAAACTTCTTTTTTTCAAACCAGAATTGATTACTAAGCTTACATTTGAATAACCTTATTGCAATTCATTGTTTTTTAGAGTTCGATCGAAAGTCGAATGGCAGGCGTCTACGGCTCTCCATTGGTCACACACGTACCCTCGATCGATCAATTCACCAATCAAAGCCTTCTTCAGGTAATTTCTAATAGCAATACTTAAAAGGGAAGGTCAACTGGGTGAGCCGGTAAAATGCTATGCGACCTATGCCATTCGACGCAGAATTTTATGTTGATTCTGAATATATATTCCGTTTTTGCTAAATGACAATCTGTCAGGATTTATAAGCGTCTAAAGTTTTGTTAGAACTCTGAAAATGTGTTTACTTGGGTCTTAGCGGTCTTAGCGACCTGCTTTTTAAAAAAATCAAAAAAAATCCAAAGTGGGGATGAAACTTGTGAGAACTCGCTCGGGAAACGAACGCTGTACCACTCGACTACGGCTGCACTGAAACGGGTCCGCAAGGAGGCCGCTAATACGCAAAGAGACCGTAATCACATTTTCAGAGTTCTAAAAAAACTTTAGATGCTTATAACTCCTAGCAGATTGTCATTTAGCAAAAACGGAATATATATTCCGAATCAACATAAAACTGCGTCGAATGGCATAGGTCGCATAGCATTTTACCGGCTCAGCCAGTTGACCTTCTCTTGTTAATATTCTAACAATATTCCAGGTCACAACGGGCCTATCTTCGGTAAGCAAAAGTGATCACTTCATCCGACTCATCACCTACATTAACCCGGGGAACTTGAATCAAGTGACCACTATGTTGACGATTGACGGCGGAGATGTTCCCAAAGGATTATTCCAACAGTAAGAATTGACATTGATACGTAAAACAAGTCTCAATCGGATTAGGCAATAAAGAAATGAATAGCAAAAAATCCGGAACCGAGGGGGAATTGAACCCTCGGACTTCTGCTTACCGGCAAGACGCTTTACCACTGAGCTACAGACACACTCTTTGCCCAAAAAGAAATAGGAAACATAAGGAAGAGAAAAAGAAGGATAACCACTTTTTGCTAAGATAATCATCAAGAATTTAGACAAGGAAACTCTGACTACTATTCGGTGGACTACCCAGTTCAACCGGGCACTCATACCATTGAAATCGACGATCCGACAGGACTCCAAAAAGTCAAATATGCGGCTATAGTTTATGGATATGGCGCTGGTGTTTCTTATGCCTACACTCCGGGAATTAATCTTCAAAGTGAGATTTTTCGATGTCACAAATTCAAAAACCATTTTTTTTCAGCGAGCGGTAACTGTTAGACTACGAGGGGAAGAAGGGCACACATCATTTTACTCAAAGTAAAATAAATTTGATCATCTTCTCACAGAAAATGAATTTACACTGGATTACACCAACATTGATTGTTCTATTGACAAGTTCTATTGACTATTGACAAAGTGGAGCACATCGACCGAACGAAAAACACGACAAAACAGACATAATGACATTTCTAAGAAAGAACTTTCTGATTCTGACTAGTTCTGATTTCAGATCAAATCATTGTTCCTAAGCGAAGCACAGTTCTGATATTTAATTAACAAAAAAGTTAGAGAATCTATCCAAACTGCAATTAGCTAAATGAGTTTTGTCTATTTTAATGATCACAACTTTTTTAGAGGCTCATAATTGTAAACTTTTTTTTATTTATGATAACTTTTGAACTAGCGATCAATGTGGCGCTTCATAGACTGTAGCAACAAACACTCGTTTCCGCCCACAAAGAGATCCAAATCTTTAACAGATTTCAGTTGATTCAAAATCTTCGCGTGTCGGTCAATTTAGGATTCGTAGCTGAGGTATAGCCACAATCCGTCACACGAGTGGATCCGCTCAATCAACGGAAAGTGGAGATCGGCATCTAATTCTTGGATCTGATGTTTCGTAGTCGAAAGAACATTTCAGGATAAAAATCCTGCCAAAAACTTGGATTCCGGACACATGACGCCCAGAAATTATCCAGGGTGTCCGTAGCAGAATCGATCGAAAACCTTCATTCACCTTGGCCAATTCAATCGCTTGTGCTCGTTCCAATTGGGTTGCTGATTGATAGAAGGTATTTTGTATTTTGTGTATAATATTTTTTGCTTTCTTCTTATTAATTTTTAGGCTGCCACCTCTTGTCATTCCGCCGTTGATCTTGGTCCTTCTCTACTCGGTTTTGCCGCACAAAGAACTCCGATTCATTCTCTATGTCTTCCCGTTACACAATCTTCCGGCAACTGTATTTTGCGCTAGAATGTAAGTTTACTTACTTACTAATTTTACTAATTATTGCCTTACTCGGAGAATTTTTACACATACATAAAATTGTAGAAAGTAGAACTTGATGAGTACTTGGAGTAGAACTTGGAGGACTGATGCTAAACATTCCAATTTTATCATTTTATGTTCTTTTGTTCTTAAATGACATCTTATGGCATAGGTCAGACGCCAGACGAGTCCGGTTTTGGTCTCGGTACTTGGATTAACTCACCTAGTTCAACCGAAAATCAAAATCTGAAAATTTGGGCTTTGGTTTAAAGTTTGAGGAAGCTAATCCAATCATTAAAAGTAGAGCAAACCAGCGTACGATCATAGTCTGATTGCCAAAAATCGACCGACCACAAGCCATTTTCATTGCAGCGCAATTTCATCAAAGTATTCAAGTCTGGAAACGATTCTAATGTCCATGTTTTTATGTTTTTATTTACACGTAATCTGTAATCTGTTATTTGAAGCGATGTAAAAATTTGAAAATCAACACCGTTTCGCTGGATTCTCGATTTTGTGCTGGATTTTGTGATTTTTCGCTGGATTTTGTGACCATTCCCTGTGACGTTGTGCTCATCGAAACGACTCGAAAACCTTTCTTTTCGGCTCGATTCAGAAATTCGATTGGAGAGACTTTATCGCTTTCCCAGTGTCTAAATTTGGTAGGAAATAAAACCAAGATTGAACTTGAACTTAGCCAATGATAATTTTCAAATAACACTTAATAAAAGCTTGTTGTGAAGCTCGAATTATTAGATATTGACTCACTAATACTTCTAATAGAAGTACAGTCAATATATTACTGAGTCAATAGAAGTCTTGATCTTAAAAGTGACCAGAATAAAGGAAATTTTATTAATTTGAAGGACAAGCTCTCAACGCTAGAGTTAAATGTAAAGTGATCAATAAGATTTTCTTTGGTTTCTTAAATAGTAATCAGTTTATTGATAAAATTCGCTTATAGAGAAACTGAAAAAAGCGATCTGATAGGTAAAGAAAGACGAAAAAAATCCCAATAAAAACCCCACTCGAATTCTCCGAGTTTCAACTCTCCCTTTTTCGGGAAAATCTCTCCCAAAGCGGTCATCGATGCATCAATTGTTCGCTCACGATTGAAAAGAAGCTCTCTAGCTGGATCCTCGACAGTCACTCGATACATCAATTTGTCTTCATGCACAATGGCTCCCCGGGGATGCATTTGAAATGAGCAAACGGTTACATATGGCATCGTGAAACTGAAAATTCATGTTCAAAGAAACAATCAAAGATTCGATAAAAGACTTTCGACGCTTTGAAAAGCACCAAATTTACATAAGAAACATTTTCCATTCAAAGACAGATTTCTGTTTTCAAAAAAATCAATGAAATTTCAAAGAACTTTATCGTTGAAATTGCATTTTCTTGCATAAAAATCTTTAAAATTTCAAAACTAAAAAGGAAATTTTTCAACAGAAAATCGAAGACTTCAAAAAAACCTGTTAACTCAGGTTTATTTTTTCTTTTCGTACCTAATATTTGACATTTTTTTGATAGGATGTGTTTTAGCCACCGTAAAATCCATAAAACTTTTTAGGATAACCACGACGCTGAGGCTGGTAGTCGTAATCAACACGAGGTAACTAACGAGGTAACTTTTTGTTTTTTTTAACCTTTTCACCACGGATCAATTTTAGGAGGACAAAAAAATATTGATGAAGAATTGGAAGCTCCTTCAGTTGCAACGGTATTCGAGCAACCTTGCGAGAGTGAAGGAAAGTCCGCCACGGATTTATTTATAAACAAGCAATTTGGAAGCGAAATAGAACCGAAATTTGTTGGAAAGCCAAAATTTTAGAAAATTATCATTTCAATAAACATTTGCAATAACTACTTTAAACTTTATGGATCAAGTTTTTTTTAACTAGATAGCGTTGAGTTTCATGCGAATCGCCTCACCTCACCTTTTGTTCTTTGTTTTCAAAATGCTCATAAAAAGAGTGCTTTTGCAAATTTTTTGGTTGAAATAAAGTGCGATCTCTTTGAGTAAACTTCACAAACTGCGTTTGTTGTGAGTTCTCCATTGAAAGCCACGTTTGAGGTTGCTCAATAACTTATTGTAAAGAAAAAAAAAATCAGCTATCTTTTTTGAGTTTTCTAGCTTCAATTTTCATAACGCAACGTTAGACAGTTTGATAAAAAATTATTGGAACTATTGGAATTTCTGTTTGTTATTCATCCAATAAACGACTAATCAATCAAGGAAAACAAACGGTGCAAGCAGCGAAAAGCAAAGCGACTGGTAGACGAAGAGCAAGGTGCTCAAAACGGCCAAAGCAAAAGCCAGCACAAATACTGATGCTTGCACAAATGTGCAAGCAACGCCTTGGTTTCCGGATTTTCGGAGTTTGCGTAAAATTCCCCTTTACAGTGTATCCGATAAACAATTTCCGCAGAGCCTGGTTTTGAAAGAAAAACTAACCATAAGCATTATCGGATGATCTCTGTAGATCTGCGATCCATTCTTGCTGTACAACCGCGCATCCGAATCTGCGGAACTGATTAATGTAAGACCAAGAAAATAGTTGTGTTTGGTTTGGTGCTTTGGTGAGTTGATGGGACCACATTTGGTTTACCATTTTATTTCTAACTGCTCAAATCCTTATCAAAATTTCAAGAAAGTTTAGAACGACTTTTAGACTGTCTTCAATAGTTTCAAGAACGTTTAGAACGACTGTCTTCAATAAATGCAGCATTGATTACACTTGAAAGTTCGGAAAAGTTTGAAAGAGCTAGAAAAAAAAGTCGTCAACCACAAAGTTTGTTCAAAAAATGGTCATCCAGCAATCACAAAAGTTTGACGTTTTTTAAACAGGATCTTATTCATCAAAAATGTACCCTCATAAACAGAAAGACGTAAATGTCCAAAAAAATTGGTTGAACTTGATGAAAAACTGGAGAAGCTTGTGATAATGTTACATCCAAGAGAAGGCTTGCAAAATATTCTAATCGTAAGTTTCTACATTAAACATTAAAATTTTATTTCTGGTCTCTTTGAATTCGGCTCTCTACGGGGCGCCTCCAGAAGGGGGCCTTTTCTCATACGCCAACCTTCCGTTTCCTCTAAAAGCTCTCACAGTTTCTTTTTTAATCGAGCTATTAAATTCTGGAGCATTTTACCCCCTTTTGATAATGTTACATCTTTTGTGCACAAAAGGAAAGTGTTATTTGTTTTTCAATTGGCATATTTGTTCCATAAGATTTTCATAATATTTATTCAATTAAAATTTTCTAATTAAAAAATGAATTCTCATTTGCCAACACAATTTTTGCCTTGCATTCGGTTTTTACTCGTATAATCTGTCGCTTATCCCAAAATTTTTCAATCAAATCCTTCATTTCTTTGCGATATTGTTCGATATCGTGGCGATCACTTTTGTCGTTTTCTCTACGCCGTGCTAAACTTACTTGAATTTCTCAAATCTCAAATTGAAACAAAAATCCAATGTCCCATTAGTTACCGTATTGCCTCTATTAGAGTCATCCGCTAATAGAAGTCGCATTTTTTCTAAAAGTGAACAATTAATCATAGTTTTTCCTTCAACTTGATTTTGATCTCATTCGATGAGGAGTCTGATGTGCCTTTGTTGAGATTAAAATCAAGTTGATCGGGCAAAATCTAAGGGAAAAACTACGATAGATTTCTAAATTGTTCACATTTTAGAAGTACTGCTTCTAATAGAGATAAGACTTTGCCTGAATATCTATTCTAATAGCCTGAATATCTATTCTGCTCATAATAGAGGCAATACATTGTCTGAATATCTATTCTAATAGCCTGAATATCTATTCTGCTTCTAATAGAGACAATACTTTGCCTGAATATCTATTCAAAAAATGTTGTATGTTTAAAGTAAAAAAATTCTCTAAAGAATACAAGTGACTCACTTTTAAAAAGTTTCTTCAAAAACTGGCTCATCTTCTCGACAAGTTCACCGATTTCGTTCAATGTTATATAAACAAGTCCTATGACTTCAATAAAACAGAACTGCGAGATGTCCTCTAAATGGAAATTTCTCGTGCAAAATGAGTTCTCGGTGTCCATTTGTAGTCCGATGAGCAGCCCGTATCTGGCCGCATTGCGGACACTTTTTCGATGACAAGTCATCGTTTCCCGACCCGGCCAAGGAGAATCTCTCTCAATGACGTGTAAAAAATGAAAACCATTTGATCCATTTGATCCATTTGATCCATTTGAAGCCTCTGCGATCTTATTCAATAACTTTTCAACCAAATACAAGTGTGTATATTGATGCGTATCGATTGTTTCCCATTGATGAAGTAATCGAAAAGCTGTCTCAAAGAGACGATGAGTGACGAGGAACTCTTGTTGATCCGTTTTTTGGCAGCTATGATATGTGACCTGCGAGGACTCATTTGGGGCATTGTCAGGGAATCGTTCAGTTTGACAAGACGGTGAGCAAATACAATTTTGAGTAAATCGATCAGCTGGTAAGACATTCCAAAAGTAAACATAACCTGGGAATTGAGCACCAATAGTGAAGCTCTCCTTGATTATCTCCTCTCCCGAAGGTTGTTCGACAAATTTTGTAGCTTTATGGCCCATAATTGACCCTTGTCCCAATCCCCACGATAAGCCGGAAGCAGTGGCTCGATGAAAGTGGCTATTGCCAGCACCAATGCCAGGACCAATGCCAGGACCAATGCCAGCACCAATGCCAGCTCCAATGCCAGCACCAATTCCTATTCCAAACCCACCATTAATTGCATAAACTTGGCCCATTGAATGATTGCCTTCATGTCTACCCATTCCCAAATGCACACAACAGTTCATCGGCTTGGCATGATTTCGATTCAGCCATCCAAAGATCTCATCGATAGCTTTTGAAACTTTTCGAATTGACTTCTTCTCTTCTGATGCATATCTCTCAATGTCTTTCATCTTTTCGTATAATGCTCTTCGAACTGCATCCACGTCTACCGTGTAGTGCTTCTCCGTTGCTCTCAGTCCACGATTCATTTCACCGAATTCGCGAAAGTCTCCGAAATCCCTTTTAAAAACAATGTAATCCGAAGGAGCCATGCACCATTCAGCACGCGAGTCACGCAAATATTTCAATGGGAATTGGCGACGTCTAGTGAATAGTTTTTCGATGGATTCGATTTTGTGAATGGCTACTTGAAGGAGGTCATTTAGTTCAAACCATGAAAGATTTAACGAGTCACATTCCCATAGACAATGAACAGCAAAATTAAAACAGAAATCTTGTAGATGAAAGTCGAAAAGAATTAACGAAAAGAAACTCTTCAAATCGATTTTCCTGGACTTTTTCAAGTCCAAACGTGCTACCACGGTGCTCTTTTTGATTGTATGCTCATAAAAGGTTTCCTGGTCGCTGTACTCTTTGCTGATAGCCTCGAAAGCCTCTTTTATTTCCTCAAAGATACCTTGTTTCTCTTCCGACGATAAGGTTTCCAATTTGAGTCCTGAATAGAACTTCTCACACTCGATCCGTCTTATTTCATTCACATCGTCGTACTTCGATCGCAAATCACCGAATGTCATCGTGTACAAATCGATATCCTCATAAATCATTCTTAAGTTCAAGTGGCTGAAATTGGTTTTTCGTTGAATTTTCGATGTCCATTCTTGAACAAAAATTTGAAAAGCTGTAGTGATCCCTCGCTTCGGTGCCAGATCAGCTGAGTCGTTGTCGTCGATAGTCGATCGTTGATCAGCGGAATCGAAATGGATAGTAGGGGGTAGGAAGTTCTTTGTCAAAGAACTGAGGCACAATCCATCGGGTTCTTTCAAGTATTGTTGGAATCTTTGTCGTTCCGGTTGCTCATTGAAGTTGAAGATCTAAAATCAAGGTTTAAGTTTTAAGAGTTGATTGGGATACCTCCTTCAACTTAACAGTTTCCCTAAACGCTTCCTCAATACCCCATCGATTTATCATTTTTGTTCGAGGACAGGAACAGCTAAACTGTGACATTTATGCGTTTCGAAACTTCATTTTCCTTGAAAATAATAACTATTAACTTCAATTTTGTCAACGTAAACCTACTAAAAGTTTCAGATAACTTAGCACTCTACTGAATTACACATTCAGATGCAAAAATTGTTAGTGAGAGTTGATAGATCATTTGCTTAACAACAACAACTCTTACCTGATGACAAGTAGTTGAACTTTTTTAACATTCGAGCACCTAGTTGGAGAGAAACTGATG